CAGACAGACAGACAGATTTGGGACACGGTAAGATTTCATAGTAGGTCATGACGTCGAAACATTTATTCAGTCCATGTCTGCAAGAACTACCACTACTGACGTTGGTGGCAGAGCACCGGCGTAGGTGCAGCACATCTTGGGAGCGTGGCGGCTTGACCCACCAATCGCAATTGAGACAGACCACACCTTCTTGCAACCAACGCAATTCTTTGCCATCGTTCCGGTCCGATCTGGTCCAACGACAACACCAACGCAAGCACCAACACCATGACTAGCATTAACACAAACACCAACATCGACACCAACACCAACATCAGCAGCAATACCGACACCACCAACAACTACATAACTACTAACAACAACAACAACCATCACCGCACCACCGCCACCATTAACAACAACAAAGCAACCCAGGCACCAACACCAACAAACAAAACCAACGACTCACTGTCCATTCTCGCTTCCCCCGCGTCGTCATCGGCTGCGCCATCGCACGTGTCCGAGGGGTGAGTCATCTCGCTCACCGCCGAAATGAAGGACCGCGCATTGAGCCCATCGTACGCGCCGTTGTCGGGGGCTCTGTTCCCGACGCTCCAAGAGGTCAGCTACGGCAAAAAACGGCAGAGGCATCAAGAAGAGTCGAGGGCTCGGCACACATCTTCGCAAGTCCTACTCTGCTGGGCTGCTGCAGCTACAGACGCAGGCAGCAAACAGCGGGAACATGAACACCGTTCAATGGGACGAGGGTCAGCAAATGTTTTCACAACTCATGACACACCTCTGCAGCTACACATGACGAGGATCCAAACAAATTTTACCTGTTGACTTGATACAAATAGAAACGCGGCATGATCCATGCACGTGGGAGTTAAGACCAACGCCCAACACAATCACCCCCCAAGACAGGTCAAACAAACATCGTTGACAATAGTACGCAAATACCTATGTAGCTCAGCTCGGACACATCCAGGGAAACGACCCGCGAACATGAGCTCCTGGCAACATGGACAGAGTGGCTCGTTTGTGTGGCGATTGCCACGGAAGGAAATGCCTCCATCAATCGATGCACAGATTGTCACTCCTCTCACGCGAATCCCGCACAAGACATGGTGTTCCATGGGTTACGTCTACTGCAATAACCGTTTTCGTGACCTAGATACCACGCGCCAACATTTGTCCTGAGAAGGGAGATGTACGCTCCGAACGCTCGCAAATGGCGTGAGTTTGTCGAGCTCGAGATTATCCGCAGTTCCTGCAAACGACGAACACGGTTCAGACGGAAAAACAAAATAAAACAAAAAGAGGACGATCGCACGCATGCATTAGCGGTTCGAAGCGACTCCGACACATGGGGATCGCACAGATGTTCGCTCTTCTGTTTGTCTGACATGAACGCTTTTCATCCAAAAAGACGGACGAAAAATCTCAGAAGCTGGCATGGCATTCCGCCTTGCGGTGGTTGGAGGGTATGCTACAAGTTTTCACGACGACGTGGACAACGAGAGGCGACGCGACGTGGGCAAGGCCAGGGGACCTGACGGAGGCAGAAGATGCTCGGATTATCGAACTACTTGAGTGTCATCGGAGCACGACCAGTCAAGGTTGTTGACTTGGCGAGAAGCCGTGCTTTCAGCTTGGATACACACGTTGCTGAGGCAGTCATGAACAGAAGTCAAGTGTCCCTGCTCTCCACCCCTTGGGGCACGGAACATGGAACACCACGATATCAGTCGGCTAGGGGTCAGGGTCATAAAAACAGGGTACACCGGTACAATTGCTTGGACTCACGTCGCAGCCGAGGTCGTCGTGAAGCAGCAGGGTAGTCCCGCTCTCCATGAAGATGTTCTTCGTCATTAGCCAGATGCTGTCGTCAAAATAAGGAGCGTTGTTACATGTGAAGGTGTATGTAGTGTTTCCATCCAATCCACCGCACCGCCATCTAAACAATACGAGGAGGCACCCTCGAGCAAGGCAAACGGGGTGACAAATTTGTGCTGCTCTCACGGCATGCTGTTTGGATCGTTTGGTCGCACAACCAGGGGACGATACCTCCCGCCCCCCCGGCCTCTCCATCCAGCACTCTTCTCTGTCGTTGAAGATTGAGGTTGACGTACACACAACACACAACGATTGCAAGAATTTTTCATCTCTATCCTAGACAAGTAGAGAAGAGTTGAGGATCAATTAGCAAAGCATCCATTCTCATTGGCCTTACCTGTGTTTCTAGGGGTAAACAGGTGCCACAAAGCAGTTTGGTGTCGTGTGTGGTATGTGATTACAGCATATGCGCTGAGATATAGAAAACGTGGGTGCAAGAGTTTCGAGGTGGATGTTTGTTCTGTAAGAAAAACAAATCGAACTATGCATACTTGTACAGCTATTTTCTGCCAAGCTGTTTCGGTCTGGTTCTGCCCGAAAACCATGGACCTCGCAGCCCATCGGTGCAGGCAGCCTCTTGATCAGAGCCCGCACGTCAGGTTTGAAAATATGTTTTCTGATTCTCGGCGCCCTAAAGGTCTCTGGTCTGGTTTGTGTATCGAATGCGAATTGCTATGTAGGTCTTCTTTGTCTATCTAACCTTCCAGATACAGGATGGGGAAGGGGCAGACACAACAGACACGGGGAGGTGCGACTCGGGAGGAATTGCTCCGGTTGCGGCACAGCTATGCCTCTCGGTGCTCTCTGAAATGTGCCTACATAAGAGGAGGTGTGTCGCAAGCAGCAAAATCGATTTCCAGCCCGAAAGTTGGTCACGCCAACTCAGGGCGAACATCACCCCTCCTTGACTCTGCCCCAGGACTCCTTTTTGTGTCTCGCCGCCGGAAGAAACTACCATGAGACAACATGTCACAAATCTGGCACATGCGTAAGACACGTTTGGTTGTACTGTGTATTCACATGTGTGACGTGTTTGGTGGGCCGCACAGACTAGCACCGGTGAATCGGCACGTTGAGAGAGGACAGCACAAGGGTTGTGTTGCCAATGGCCACAGCAGCAATAGTGGCCGCGAGCTCACTGCTGATAAGCGACCCCAAGACCTCGCAGGAAACAAGCCCTTCCAGCCCCACCCCTCCCCATCCACAGCAACGACCCACTCTCACCCTGTCTCCGTGTCGCTCTCATCCCCCTCAACCGTGTGGTACGTTAGCGGAGGATTTTCCACCGCGTTGTAGATATCCGGGAGGGTCACACAAGACCCCTCTCCTTCAACGTAGAGATACTCTCCCTCGTTTACCCAGCGAAATGTAGCTTCTGGCGCGTCGGGCGGGCACGCCGTCATCCGTATGCTCCCAGCCGAGTCCGTGTCTACCATCATCCCCGCCACTACGAAGCACAGCAGCGCGCCGCTGCCCCCCAACCCTCCCGAAGCCGCCCGCTGCCTCCGGTCTATCTTTGACGATCTCATAGTTTTCTCCCCCTCTCTCCTCCTCACAGCGAAGCAACCAAGCCGAGATGTAAGTAGTACTTCGGACAACCACGCGCTCACTTGGATTGCTGATATTCGTATCAAGGTAAACTTGTCTGGGCGTTGGTTGGCATTGATGGGAACGTGTGAGAGAGGCAGCTGAAAAACTGCGAGCAAGTTGTTGTTCACGGATCACAGATCTACGGAGATTTATTTGTATCGTATCTGCAGTACCCATGTTTTGGATCTTAAATCTTGAAATCTTTGGACAACCTTCAAAGCTGAAAGACTTCAGAGCTTTGTGCAAGATGTACTATGACCTTTACATACATGTGCACAGCAGTTGCACAGTAGTGCTAACATGGCATAGGATAACCAGCTCAACAAAGAGTTGGACTTTCCTGTCGATTCCGTCCAACTCCCATATCTCGTTGTATGGTGAACATTATTAAGTCCTCATCTATTTGGGTGGCGGACAATTTTATTTCGTGTAGACTGACAGTTGTGTCGTCAACCACGAAAAAGGCGGAGGGTTGCGACAAACAGCAGTGGTGCTGCTACAAGCTAGGTTTATACTGGATAATACCTCATTATTTGATTTAGATACACTCACTGAAAAGACTCCACCACATCCCGTTCGACTGTGGGTATATCTCGAATGGGTAGTCTTTCTGTGTGTGTTTTTATTATTCCTTAATACACTTTTATCTTACATTCCAATTTCAGTTACAGCAGAATATACTAACCCAAATCGACAACATGTAATGCAAAGCGCCTGTCGACTACAAGCCTATCCGGAGCCTCCCGATACCGGGCGTGGGGTTTAGTGGTGTGACGCGAGTGGCTCGCAGGAACGTCTTTCGCAGTTGTGGCGTTCGCACAGAGGTACTTCGCGCGCGGTTACACTTCGGCACCTGTAAGCGTACTATTTTTGTGTGTTGCGTATATTCCTGTTTAGTCGCGGAGGTGGGAGGGCGAGTGAATCGCTGCAACAACAGCAACCCCAGTTTCTCCAGACACATCGACAGAGTCTCCTACCGCACACGACATGAATTCAATCACCCTGTATTATTATTGTAGAATATCCTACGGTGCGTTTACTCGGAAACAGAGCAAATGGCTTCAGACCGCACAGGACAGGGGGCGAACGAAAATGGCACCGGAGAAGCTACAGCACAAGTGTTCTTGGGAGGTCAGTCGTCCGACAGAGCGATCGTTGCTGCTTTGGTTTCCTTTTGAGCGCCGGGGATTGTGCCAATCCATGCTGCGCACCCGTGCAAAAATCGCTTTACGTCACAGACACATTGGTGGCAGAAGCGTGTGATGCAGCTAAAATAAAAAGGACAAACAAACGTCCGTACAAATATGATACCGTACAAATGGAATACGCTACGCTAAATAGGCCGGGAACGCTGTACATTCTACCACAGCAGCGCGGACAGCGATCATCCCAACCTGAGTCCGCCAAGTCAGCAAGCACTCGTCCACATTGACTCCGACACTATTGTAGCATTCGCTTAGTTCATCCATGCGCAAAACTCTAGCTAAAGAGGAGTCAACAGGCACACAACATTGACAACGACACAAACGCTAACCATGAAATAAGACGATCCATGCACGACCCTCTTCCCTCAACGGCGTTGAAATCCTCGGTGGATAGGTCGGGCAAATACCGTCGTTGAACAAACGTGTTGTTTACAAGTAGACACGGCACGCCACACAAGTCAGACTATCCCCCCCCCCCCCTCTCCCCGAGTTTCAACGCCTACACAGCGTATGCTGCGACCAGACCAGTCGGGTGGCTCTTGTCTTAAAACAGACCTCGCCAACACAAAAAACAAAGGGCAAGAACGGGCAAGGGTGAACAATTTCACAATACTAAGGATTGGGGAAAGGCTCACCAAATTCACGACCCCACGAGGTAAAACTACTGCCGAAATGATCCCTTTACCACGAGAGAAAAGAGATACGACCGCGCTACCACGACATACGGCACCCGACAAAAAAAAACAAACGGAAAACTGGAGACAAGACGTTTTGAGTTTCGCGCCTCCCCCCCCTCCGGTGTTGATTTCTGATTGCGCACGCGCTAGAGAAAAAAACTCTCAGCGGCTCCAATAACCTAACCCTAACCCTTGACCCCGTCCTGTCTTGATTTCTGATCGCGCACGCGCTAGAGACAAGAGCTCTCAGCGGCTCAAGGCACCCGAGATTGCCGACGCTGCTTGCATCCCTAAGATAGTCTCGCTGTAAGCTGCGCTCTCCACACATCGAAGCAACGGCCTTGAACTATAACCCGCATCTCCTCTCATCACTACACCCCGCACAAGACACAAACAGTTACGCTCATCACACGCTAACATAACCCACAAGCCAAAAGTCAATAACAGAACGAATAACGATGCAAGGTCAGGGAATATCAAAATTAAGAACAATTAATGGTTTAAGAACCCCAAGAAAAAGACAACAAATAACGATGCAAGGTCAGGGAATATCAAAATCAAGAACATTTAATGGTTTGAGAACCCCAAGAAAAATACGTCAAAAGTCGGAAGAACAAACAACAGTGCAAGACCCCACGAAAACGCCGCCAACACGTCAGGAGAACCAACAACGACGCACAGGCCCGGGACTTAGCCCCGGACACAAAAACCCGCCGGTCGCGAAAGGACGGACCAACATCCCCCGAAATATCGCCTCCATTCAGGAGAGAAAACAGAAGCGGTAGGTATACACAGGTCCGGTCAAGGTAGGATGTTTGCGTGAGCTGTTCGGTTATGCTCGGGTCCATCGGGGAGCGGGGGGGTTCTGCGGCAAAAGTCAAGAACAAAAGGAAATGTTCAAGGGTAAACAGCAGTAGTAACACGCCAGCTGCAGCTTGCTAAGGAACTCAGCTTCTTCTCGTCCTCTTGTACAGCACGATATATTGCCTGATGCGGAGTGCTACCACTTTGCGCAAAGGGCTTAATGCATCACTCTGGGAACTTGCAGCCTTGGACACGCTGCGAGACAGCCAAGCAAGGGCCGACCCAACCACACACGCAACTCCAGCGAGACATCAGCAACGTCACGTGCAGGAACAAAAAACAAGCTGCCGAACAACTTCATCAACGCATAGTGTGTGTGGGGGGGGTGCCTTGCCCGCCGCCCACAGGCTCAAAACTGCCACCAACGACAGGCCGAAGTGTTGGAACCTAGCCTATCACATTCGGCGGTAATCCTTGCAGTGACCGACCGCGCTGCGGTACTTTCGTCAGCCAATCAGCGATCGCGACACCAAGAATGTTGCTTCCCATTCATAGCGGCCGTGGGCCGTCAACCAATCAGCGATCAGCACTCCGAAGGATTCGAGCCGCCGGCACTGATCTGGTCAAAGTCGCTCTCCGACGAAAGACACGTGGTTTCGATTCCGATCTCGAAGTCATCTTCCACTTCATTGTCCTGGAGATAAGGTGCAGAACGTTTGGGGGGGGGGAGGGTGTTCATCCAGCTGTAGACAATAAACAGAAACCTGCTACCCACAGGGGAGATGTCGCTGCATGCTGCTCGGGAAATCGTCGAAATACAAGTAGCTTCCGCTGACGCTATGGATTCATTGCCAATCCATCTTAGACTCTTCTCTATAGATAGAGATGAGTGCGCCGTGTCATGTCAAGAAAACAATAAACAAACATGCACAGAGCTCATATCCAATGGGGGAGTGTAGGAAAGTGAGCCGACAAGGTTAAGGGAGGCACAGGGAGACGAGACGAGGGGGAGACGCTCTGTTGAACGTGGCGTGCAGGATAAGATCGAAATTCACACAGGTTCAAAGGTGTGCGGTGTGAGGTGAGCATGGACAAGGATGGATAGGGCGGCACATAAAGAAATCTTGAGATCCCGCCCCCTCTGGCCTACAGTCAGCTTGACACGGGGCAACAAAGCAATACACACCACAGCAGTGAACATACAAAAAACACAGAAAAATAACAAAATTCCATACACATACAAGGAAAACAGAGAGAGCAAAAAAAAACGTCCACAAGCTAAGCACAAACACCTTCCAACGCATGCGCGTCCGGCCCCTCCAGCCGCAATCACTACATTCGCAAAGTATACCAACACTCGGCATCCTCCGGCAACATGTTGGTGTCGACCCCCCCCCCCCACTCGTTCGTCCTCCTGTCGGCGGCACGAAGACTCCTTCGCAAAACACTCCCAACACCAGAAAAATCACAACAAAAGTCTTTCTCCAACTACACCCCGATACGGGTGCGAATCTTCCCTCAGGCAACTACTCACGCTACTTTACTGTACATGACATGACGTGATATGCCACACCCCCTGGATCGATCTTCAAAGCTCGACTACTCCAAGGAAACCGTGGAAATACAGGTAGCTTTTTTCTGACGCTATGGATTCATGGCCAATCTACCTTAGGCTCTTTTCTTGGAGATGGATTCGTTGGATCAAAATCAGAAAATATAAAAAATAAAGAAACAGTTGCGGTTCCGTCGATGCTGGCGTTGGCACGGTATCGTCGAGAGAGACTTCTCCAAAAACGTATCGTTCGATTTGTACATCCTCTTGATCGTGGAGTAATGGAGCTTCGAGAATCCGGGGTGGTGCACATCGACGCTTGTGAATACTATACTTTCATCTCCACGCATGAGACAATACACAAAAACTGTCCTCCTCTCAACCACCACACTCTTGCCTGGCTGCTTGTTCGCCCAAGGAGCAGACGCTCTCGCTTACCCGCCGGCCGTCGGGCGGGTTGTTTCCAAGAAACGACGAACTATTATAGTAACAACCAGCAGAATACGAGAGACACACACATACTCCAGAAAAAAAAACTCTCTCTCACCGACCACAATAGCCCGTCAGAGTCGTCGATCAGAGACTCTTCGACGCCGACCATGGTGTTCCCGATCAACATGTTGTCGCGGGTCTCGGAAAACTTAACGCCGATCGAGGCCCCGTCCAGGTAGTTGTTCTGGAAAAGGTTGCCCGTGCACATACCGTCAGTAGCGGCGGAGGCGATGATCTCGTCCGACCCCAGGTACAGCCAGAGGGACCCTGTAGGGTAACAAAAAAAATAAACGTCGGGGGGGGGGGGGGGGGGGGGATA